AACAAAGCAAAAAAAAAAAAAAATGTTACTCCACACTACTCAATAAATCTTTCGGTGGGTACAAGAACAAGCAGTTATAAATTTCACGCCACATTATTGGGTAAACCATTTTGTGGGTGTTAAGTATAAGTAATAATATTATCTATTATAACTTGAAGTTATTTTTTCATAATTAGTAGTAATTCATAAGCAAATTTAATAATATCATTACCACATATTATTGACTATGGCATAACCTTACTTGCCAATAATAATGGTAATGTGTAAATAGTGTCATATTTAGTATATTCATACAACATATCCGTGACTATGGCAGTGTCTAACTTGTCAAGAATGATGGTAATATGTATATTAGTAAAATATACTAATTTAATGTAATACATATATATATTATTATTATATTCATACCTTCTTGACCAGGTAGAGCACTCGTGCTGATAACGTGTTATAAAATGCGGGGAAGATAAAGAACACAATATAAAAACTGGATATAAATTATAATCTTGCTTTTCTTTCTTCTTTTCCGTACATACATTCCACTACTTCTCTTGCCTTTTATAGGCAAAATTCCATGCATTATTGATCATTTCCATGCATTATCGATTCACACATTTTTATGCACGCACAAACTTCTATACATTCACACATTTCTATACATTACTAGTAAACCCCCGTGCGATGCACGGGAAAATTATAATTTATGTGTTTTTTCGAAGGTAATTTGTATATAGCCATAATAAAATTGAAAAGACATGGCTAATAATAATAATAATAATAATAATAATAATAATAATAATAATAATATAATAATAATAGTCAACTGCAATAACATTTGTTGAATTGGATATAAAATAAAAGAAATGTTATAGGTACATAATATTGTACATACGGGCGTAAATAGCATTCATATTGAGTGAGACCCACCAAAAATAAAAAAATCAAGTGAGCTCCATTCCATATGAGTATTATGTACACCTATATGTACATTTATTATATACTTGTAGCATTTTCCATAAAATATATTAAGTATTGGACTATGTTCCATAACATCGACACTAATTAAACAAACATTAGGCCATAAGTCTAGATTTTCAGGGTTTTCATTTCATTTTTTCCTTTCTTTCCCCGACCAATTCTCTATGTCGTGTCGGTCGTCTCTTTATTTTTTTAAATTTTTTTTTTACCTGCAGAAAATGAATATTTCTAAACAAATCGATCACATATATTGTGATTCGTACATTTATGTTTGGATTAATTTAAAATAAGAATTTGAACAAATTGTGTTTTGATTATAAGATAAGTCCAAATGATTTGAAAAATAATTAATTAGTTAAGTCGTTAAAAATTTTTTATCCGTGTAGAAAGATGACCAATTAGTACACATGTGTCATAATTAAACGTCATTTTAAGTTTTTTGAATAATTGTGATTTGATGATAAGATAAGTTAAAATGATTTAGATAATTAATCAATTGATTGAGCTGTTTAGATTTTATAACATGTTTTAACTTGCTCATTACACGTGTTTCCTCATTAAGTCAATTTCTGTTAGTACTATAGCATGATAAACTATATTATTATATTATTTAATGTCAAATATTAAGGACTCTTATATTAATTATGTTGTTTAAACTTGCTTCAATTATGATAACCGAGATAATGTACACGTCTTGTTTAAATTATGATAATATTAGTGTACATGAACTGTATTATGAATTATTGGTTTATTTGTTAAGAAGTTTAATTAATGTGGAAACTTTATGATAAGATTGGTGTGGAATTTTCATAAATGCAATTCTAATGTGGTCCTAAAATATTTGATTGTCTGTTACAATTTCTATCAATTGTTGGATTGACTCAAATATTAATTTTTTAATTAATTTATTTTGAAGTTCGATTATTATGGCTCTTACCCTTATCTTTGAAAATTTGAAAATTTGAAAAGCCTTATCTTTAGGTTTTATTATGGTTCTTATCCATTGTTTTAAATAGTCTAAACATAGAAAGTCAACTTATTTATTTATTTGGTCAAAGTTTCTAAAAATGAATTTTCCAACAAATTGGATAAATTAACAATTGTTACCAATGGAATTCGGCCTAAATTGGATGTTAAACGTATTGTTTGAAAAAAAAAAGGGAAATAGCTCGGGTTTGGATTTTGGCCCAATACACATTATGTTAATTTATTGCTATACAACATAAACAACGATCGAACGGTCTACAATTGTTGAATCGATTTAACGGACATAAAGCGAAGTTTACAACTATAAATAGCTAAGATTGCCGATAATGTAGGGTTTCTATTATCATTTTTGCTTTTCCCGACGCGCGTTTCTCTCCTCTTTATCTCCTCATTTCTGTCGGTTCATCTACCATTTTTCATATTTTTTTTTTTCTGCAGATCTTGTAAACATTAAGACTACACATGTTGTAATTCTTATGTGTATGTTTAGAAAGATGGTTGAAACTGCTAAATCACGGTTTGTTTGTTACACATACATCGGTTTTTTTTTTTTAAATTACTTGTTTCTGTTTTTGTTTGAAATTTATTTTAAGATCTGAGCTCGATTTTTTGAAAAATTGAAATTCCGAGAAAATTATTCATGCTTTATTTACAGATTTGGTGGATTTTTTCGATTTCAAGTCGAAAAATATGAAACCGGAAAGGACGTACTTCGTTATTATTATTTATTTTAGGATTACATCTCGATTTTGAAGAAACCATGAAAAATTGAGAAAATTAATGATGTTTTATATACGGATCTGGTCGATTATTTTGATTTGAAGTAAATATATATGAAACCCAAAATGAATTAATTCGTTATTACTATTTATTTTATGATCTGAGCTCGATTTTGAAGAAAAAATTAAAATCTGTGGAAATCATCATGGTTTATGTTCATTTTGGTGTATTATTGCTGGATCTGGTGTAATTTTTCAATTAAACGCAGATCCTTTAAATCTTGATCGAAAAATAAGGAATCGAAAAGGAAGTAATTTGTTTTTCGACAATTTTATTTTGCCTTTTGTTGTGATTATGACGGATCTGGTGTCATTTTTTGATGCAACTCGAGATCTTTAAAAATAAGATCGAAATATATGAACGCCAGAAAATAAATCATTGGTTTACACAATAACAAATTGCTTTACATAATTTTACTGTCATTTGAATGATTTTAGTTTTTTTTTTTCATTTTTTTGGATTTATTAAATACTTTTGAAATGGATGTTGTTCTAACACATTGGAGCTCCCCATAACTTATTAAGGTAAGAATTACTTCCTCACATTTAGTTATAGTTGATCATCCTGTGTTACTTGTTCTAAGTGGTAAGATGCTATAGGTGTTTCCACAAATTTCTGCACTAAATGGAAAAAATGGTTAAAAACTGTGTACGATGTGATCCAAGTAAGAAAAATGGTCCAATGTGTGGTTATTGCTTTATATCAGGTTTTCCTAATTTTCCTTTTCGTGGCATCCTGGCAATGTATTGCTCACTTTCCAATTAGGGATGAAAACGGAAACGGTAACTTCCGATTACCGGGAATCGTTTTCGAAATTTTTTCGGATTTGGAGGCTAAACGGAAACGGAAACGGTAACCGGAAAAACGGAAATGGAAACGGTAAAAAAATTCGAAAATGAAAACGAAAATGGTTTAGCCCTTTTCCGATCGTTTTCAAAAATTACCGTATTTAAACGGTATTTTACCGTCGGTAATACCGGCCCAACCCATACTAGGCTCACTTTTAATTATAAAGCCCAATCCAAATCCCAAATGGGCCAAACGCCCAAATCCCCTTTAGCCCAACCCTTCTACAGTGCCCAAATCCTGAAATTCCCTTCATCCCTTTCGATCTTCACTCTCGAGTCTCGTCTGGGAGTCTGTCGTCTCTCCCATCTGCTCGTCGTCTGCTCGTCGCCACTCCCGTCACTTGCTCGTCGCCGCCGCGCCCCACTCCCATCACCGTCTCAACCGCATCTACAGTGCCCAAATCCCCTTTATCCCGTTCGGTCTTCACTCTCGAGTCTCGTCTGGGAGTCTGTCATCTCTTCCATCGGCCGACGGCCATCGCAATTTGCCACGCCTGCTCGTCGTCACTCCCGTCACCTGCTCGTCGCTGCCGCGCCCCACTCCCATCAACGTCGCAATCGCACCAGCCGCTACAGGCTCCAGCTGCCGCCGCCTACCCCACTTTGGTGGACAAGTCACAATTCAATTGCTAGTTATTTGAATTTGTATGGATTTTCTTATAGCAAATGGTGTAGATTTTAATTTGGATTTTGCTACTATTATGCCATTAGAATATTTCAATTAATGTTTTAATGCTATATTTTATAATGTGGTGTGTTTATCGTTTTTTAAATACCGTTTTAATATATTTCGATCGTTATCGATGTATTTTCGATCGGATAGTTTCGTTTTCGATATTACCGGAATACCGATGTCGTTTCCGTTTCCGACATTACCGTATCATTTTCGTTTTCGAGAAAAAAATATGAAAGTGGAAATGGTTGAGCCCTATGCCGATTGTTTCCGATCGTTTTCATCCCTATTTCCAATTTAATGTGAACCCTACAATATAAGTTTATTAATTTATAAATGTGAAATAACATATTTCTTAAAATTATATAAATTTATAAATATGAAATAAAATATTTTTTAAAATTATATAAATTTGATATTTTGAATGAAAATTTTTACCTGTTCATCATGAAACAGTATATGGAATTCGTTCCAACTCTCGCGTTGGTGATGCGATTCATCTATAAAGTCAACTCTCAAGGGCAAAAAAGGTTTATTTGTTCTATTCACTGAATCGAGTGTATCCCAGACTGGCGGCATTATATTTCCGATGTGTTTTGAAAATTATTTGTTTTATGATAATTATGGATCAAATCAAATACATAAAGCATTGAATCTTCAAAATTCAGATTTTCATAAAAAAAAATCCAAAAATTAGACAATTAGTTAATAAATCACACATCATTTTGAGAATTAAGTTAAGCCATCAATACCGTAAGAAGTTGTCTTGCCGCCGCTGCCACCTGGTCGTTTGGAGTCACAGCCACTGCTGGCCCGCTCGCCTCTTGTTGCTCGTCGGTGGCCACTCCAAGGTCACGCCGCTGGAATACTCCAAGGTCACGGCTTTATAATAAAATTATCATATTGTATTAATAATAGTTTTTACACAAAATATTAATTTTTTTTCATCAAATCAAACTTATTTAGTATCCTATCACAATAGTTTTCTAATGTTTACAAAATAAGTCGAACTTCGCAGGGATTGTAAATAATGTTTATAAAATTTCAAATAATTTTCAAAATCCAATTCAGATTTTTAAATCAATTACAAAAGTGAATTGCACACTTAATTCAAGAGTTGATCTTTTAATATTTGTTTTATGATAATTATGGATCAAATCTAATAGATAAACCATTGAATATCCAAAATTCAGAATTTGGAAAAAAAAAAAAAAATCCACAAATCAGACAATAATTTCATAAATCACACATCATTTTGAGAATTAAGCCATCAATACCGTAAGAAGCTGCCTTGCCGCTGCTGCCACTTGGTCGTTTGGAGTCACAGTCGCTGCTAGAACGCTCGCCTCTTTTCGCTCGTCGGTCGCCACTAAAAGGTCACGCAGCTGGAATCTGCCGCTTCCTTGCTTCCACTTGCCGGGATCCAAGGGAAAAATTTAGAAGCGAGGTTATGGTTAGGAAAGGGAAAAGTTGAAATAGGGCTGTCTGTTTTGATTCTTGAAAACATGTTTTGATCTATTTGTATTTTATATGATGCACGTTTGTAATATGGCGAAACTGAATTCCGAAAGGGAAGGGAAAGATTGAGGAGTAAAAAACGTGAGTTATCTCTTGAGGTGACTTATCCAAACTTTTCAATTATCTCTCTAATTTATTAATTTTTTAATTAAGTTATGACTTTTTTTACATGTTTTCAAACTTTCTAAATTTAGAATGTCAAAGATTTTATTTTTTTGGTCAAAGTTTCTAAAAAGGTATTTTAACAACAACTTTTTTATATATAGATAGATGATAGGATAAGGTGATAATGTTACTAGTGGTAAAATTCCACTTGTTTATAACAAAATAATGAATAAAAATAATATATAATTAAAAATATATGAATGAAAGGAGGATTAATAAACTTTATTTAAATAACATTATAATTGTGTTTGATATTTTTGATANNNNAAAAAAAAAAAAAAAAAAAAAAAAAAAAAAAAAAAAAAAAAAAAAAAAAAAAAAAAAAAAAAAAAAAAAAAAAAAAAAAAAAAAAAACAATTTTTGCAGTGGCAAATATGGTTAAAAAAAAATTATCCATAATAATGCTGAAAAAATGAAATATTCTACTTGACATGAAAAAACACTTCACACAGGCAATTCAAAAAGAATTTCTACACAGATCCAACAAGGCTCATCTTTTTTCACAAAAGAATGCTCAATGGCAGCAGTATCTTTACACTCAATAGTCAATAGTGTTCTACTTTGCATCATAAGTTCCAACAGTTGTTCATAAATATCTCCAACAACACCACATTGGTGGGAATTAAATAAGCACAAAACCACCAAAAAATTACAAACTCTAAGAAACCACACGAATTTCCGGGAAACAAATTTCAGGTTTAACGATATAGTAAAGAGAAATCACAAGTTGTGTGTTTCGGTAGGAGGTCCTGATCGAGTATTCAACAGAGGCTGTAGAGCTTTTACTACAATGCTCATGTTTGGTCGAAATTCTGCTTCGTATTGCACACACAAAGCAGCAACTGCAGCCATCTGTAATTTTTTTTTCAAGCAAATTGAAGTTAATAATATTCACGGTGCAAGAATGAGATTTGTCAAATGATCAATAATAATGTACTCTGCTTGCCTTTTGTTTTTCTATTTTCGGTTGAATAACAAGGATTATTTATTTATTGTCGTTTTTTT